AAACGGTGACTTTGCCTTGGAGAAGGTGCAGTTTTTCGGGCACATGGTGAGTGCGGAGAACGTAGACATGGAACCGCGGAAGATCAAGCTGTCAAGAATTGAAAAGTTCCTGAGAACGTAAAGAGATGCAGTAATTCATAGGGTTTGCCAACTACTACAACAGGTTCGTGCCACAGTACGCTAAGATAGCAGCGCCACTGACGAACTTACTGAAAAAGGATACGCCCTATAAATGGGATACTCCTCAACAGCAAGCCATGGAGCAGCTATAGATAGCACTGACTACTGCCCCAATACTTATCCTACCAGATCCAGACAGAGACTACGTGGTGGAAGCAGACGCTAGTGACCAGGCAGTTGAAGCATTACTGATGTAGGATAACGGACACGGCTTGCAGCCCATCGTATACCTCATTAAAAAGCTACACGAAGCAGAACTGAATTACCCAGTCCATGGCAAGGAAGCCTTAGCGCTAGTCACAACCTTCAAGGTGTAACCTAGAGGGAGCCAAAACTACAGTCTAAATTGACCACTGCAGTCTCAAATACCTCAAGTCGCAGCCTACGCTCGCACGAGGACAGGTGCGGTGGATGGACTTCCTGGAAACACACTTCCGCCATGACATCGTCTACAAGCCAGGGCTACACAACTAGGCCAACGTATTGAGCCACCCCTGGGCATGTAGCAGGCATCCAGGTCGATGGGGATGAACCCTCTGCTCAAGGGTCTATTCCAACATGGGTACTCCGTGGATGAAGAGATCGCTACAGTACATAAACAGAAGTTGTTACAGTGGGAGAAAGACTTAGCTGTGGGAGAAAAGTTCAAGAAAGATTTGGGTACCGAACTATGCCCAACTTGCTAAAGGAATTTCACGACGTAGCATACACGGGAAATTTTGGTAGTAACAAGACGCTAGCAGGGATAGCAAAGTATTAATACTGGTCCCGGATGGCAGCAGACGTGTAGCAGTTTGTCACCTCATGCGACACGTGCCAGCGGATGAAGAGTAGCAAGTCGAATAAAGCAGGGTTACTTTAGCCTCACCCGTAGCAGAGCAACCATGGCATGTCGTTAGCCTTCGGCCACACGAGGGCACGATGCTATACTCATGGTGATTTTCAAGTTCTTGAAAACGAGACACTCCATTCCGACCAACGCCACGGCTACAGCCAAAGCAACCGCTCGCCTCTTCTTCGGCCGCATCATCACCATCCACGGCATCCCCGCTACACTCATCTCAGACAGAGACCCAAAGTTTACGAGTAAGTTCTAAAGGGAACTCATGGGATTGTTAGGTACAAATCTTGCGATGTCTTCAGCGTACCACCCCCGGACTCACGGACTGACTGAGCAAATTAATCAGGTGGTCGAACAGTTACTGCGCACAGCTTGCAAAGACGAAAAACAGCATCCACTAGGATCTACAGTTACCAACGCTTGAGATTGCTTACAACAATGCTTCACACGCGACCACAGGAAAATCTCCCTTCTTTCTGTGCTGCAGATGGGAACCACTTACACCAGAGCAGCCAACCACACCGGCACGCGTCCAAGCCGCGCACGACTTCGTCACCACCATGCAGCAGCTATGGGAGAAGATTCAATGACGTCTCACCATAATGCAAAACTCCCAAAAGCAATATGCCGAAAGACAGCGATGTAATCACTCACTGGCAGTCGGAGATCAGGTGCTTCTTGACACACGCAACTTGGACTTGTCCCATCTTCCGTCCAAGCCCCGGCTCCGCTTCTGTGGTCCTTTTTGCATTGAGGTGATGGTGACACCAGTTACATTCCGCTTGTGCTTACCTTCCACGTGGAAGCTTCACAACGCTTTCCATGGTCAGTTGCCAAAGCCCTACAAGGACCCCAACCAACAGTTCACGGGACAAAAGCTACTGCCACCACCACCTGTTCTCGTACAGGATGAACCAGAGTACGAGGTGGAACGCGTTCTCACTCATCGGCGCCGGCGCGGCACGACACTCGAGTTCCCGATATACTAGAAGGGATATGACCCGTCAGAGGATAGTTGGGTTGCAAAAGCTGATATGGGCAACGCACGCCGTGCTCTCAAGGATTATCTTGTCAAGCAGGGTGTATCTTACGCCACCCAGCTTTGAGGGGGGGACGTGTGAGAGTATGACAGCTTTTGCTAGGCTTTGCTTGCTTGCCTTTACTTTATTATGCTTATCTAGATTTGGTTATTTTAACTTGCATACTCTTGCTTGATTTCCTAGGTTATCTATATTATTTTTATTATAGTTATTGGCACTATTGCGTGCACCGAATTCTGTGCTATTCGGTTTCCACCAATTCACTTCTACCGAATTCGGGAAGGATCCATCGGGATGCTTCGCGACCCTCGGAACCTTCGCGTAACACCTGGTTACCTTGCATCGTGTCGAGACTATATATAGTCTTATGTTGTACATGTTGTTCAGGATCCGTCATTTTGAGAGCCTACGACGAACTCTTTTCTCAACTAAACGCAAATCCGCTCGGTAGGATGTTGCGCCTTAGGCTTAAAAAGATGGTCCAGGGAGTGAGAACGACTTGAAAACGTCCAGCTGCTCCATGATTAGAGTGGTAGAGGAAGTACAAACATTAGAGCATAGAAAGTTGGAGTTGGGGACTCCAAGAGAACCATGAGAGGGAAGGGGTTCTCCAAGAGCTAGGGAAGGATGGTAGGAACCTTCCTAGCAGCAAGGATGCAACCCTCATCATGAGGTCCTTGAGGTGTCACATGCAAAATCCAATCTAGTTGGATTTTGCCTAGGTGTTGCAACATTTGCAACCCATGCTAGAAACTTCTAGCCACCCCAATCCAAAAGTCAAAGTTGCCTTCCTAACCACCCAACCAAAGATCCCTTTATAGTCATGTCCCAATAATCACCCTATGTAGATAATATCTCAAAACGAGATAGAATTCCCAAAACTTTGAAATCTTGTAACTTGGGCGATCTTGGTCGGAATAAGGCGATCTTGGTATCGTTGGAAAGCTCTGGATTTCTCCTGCATGATAAAGCATGTAGACTTGGAGAAAAACACACACATGGTAAAAATCCAACAGCCATACGTTATGACATATAATCATGCAAATTATGCAAGCACAAATGGCACGAGCACTCGGCAGGACGTTAGGATGACATGCACTCAGAATGACGTGCATCCAACAGTACCTAGGTGATTGATTCATTCCGAACGAGTTTCTCGATCCTCAAATTGTCGCACCTTTCGTCCAAACTCTGGCCTCACTTCTTCGGTCCGCTTTATTGATTGCTATAACATTATGCGGAAGTGATTAAGCTTAAACTACAAACTTAACTTGGCAACACTTAACATCACTTGCAGCCCTTCAAGTGTGACGGCTTATCACCTCCTAGCTAAGGGCGTATAAAAGAAATACAAGTGAGTAGTTATGCTTTGTTCAGCTTGTAGGACGAGTAATCTGGTCGAGCAGAGTTTCGGCAGCACCAGCAACGTTTCTACTCTCGTCAATACGAAGTACACAATAGTAGAATTCAAGCTTGGAAAAAAAGCAATTTGTTTTAGATATATTTTGACAGGTACAAGCACACAATATATATAAATTCTAAGCACATGCAGGGCAAGCATAAAACAAGTGTTTAACTAAATCGCAAGACTTCGCCATGCTGTATTTGAAAACGGTTGCTCAACTGCTTTAGCATTTGGCTTCATCCTCCTCTTGTTAATATCTGTCTTCAAATTGCACTTGTAACAATTGCCCCCGCTGACCTAAATATGTGCACTCATAAACTCCCATGTGGCTCTAATGTAGCACTCATGAGGTTCATGAGAGCTTACAATTTTATAACGGTTTTTACCGTTTGGAAAACTGAGTAACCTAAATGTACTTCCGTCGAAATGAAAGCTAAGCAAAGCAAAGAGGGGTGACTTACGCGAGAAATTGCCTGTCCGGCAAGCAGGGCTAAGGTTTGGGTTTTTGCCAAATCTGACGTTTTGGTTCCCTTACCAGAAATGCCCTGAAAATGAAGGGTCAGCCAAAAAACCGCACGGGAAAATTAGGGCTGGCCTAAAAATTCCTCGCTTACGTAATTTGATTGTCCCACGGCAATGGAGACTTCTGACAAAAACAAATGTTCAAACTCTATGTGAGCACTTGTGCTGCTTTGGTGTGGACCTCTGCTCACAGAGAGAAAAAGTATACAGATGCCTCCGAAATGACTAAGGAATAGCGGGGCGGGAAGGAAGCATTCACAAGTCCGAGAACAGGTGGAGAAATTAACTTGTGTTGGGAAAGGGGCGAGGTTGGGGGCTCTAAGCGAAGGCCTTAGAAAAAACTTCCGAGTCCTTCGAAGGAGAACGCAGACTCAACAGAGTCAGTCCTAAAAGAGCTTGGATTCAGTCAGGGCTGGCATAACAATTCCCCTGTAAACATCCGAGTTGGGCTAAATCATTCTTTCTATTTTCAGTCAAGAACGAGCATTGACCCTGATAGCCTGAGCCCTTACCCTGAGTCAGCGCGAGATACAGTTTTTTCAACCGTAATCCCAAGCACCCCTTGGTGCCACACGCACAACCGAGATTTTTCTTGGTCGTGCTGTACAGCTAATGCTCGTTTGGCGCACCCAACTTTGCCTTGTGCTCTGGGCTTATAAGTGGTTTTTTGCATTTCGCCGGGTTCGTGGAGATTCGCCACAGCCCTAACTTGCTCCTAAAAAGCACAGTTTGTAACATGTTTGTTTTGTCCAAAACAGTGTTGGTGGGCCTGCTTTGTTGCAAGTACATTGACACGATTACCACTCTTTTCATCCTCCAATATAGCATGCGAGTACACAGCATCCCTCAATTTGTCACAAACACCAAACCCAACCCCGCACCCAATGAAATGTTAACACTTGTCCTCGTGCTACTCCCCCGTCATCAAATCTCGCAAGGGGCAATGCTCACAAGAGGTGGCACATTGCTACCAGGAGGAGATGGAAACTCCTCAGAGGGGTTTCAAACCCCCTCACAGCCGCATCCATTCGGCGGCAGCCATGTAGCCGCCCATGACGGCAGGCACACCACCGTCAATCAGCTCCTGGCGGCGCACCGCCTGCTGAGCCAGGGTCACCCACGATGGGGTCGGCTCTGTCATCCATGCCGGCAGCACACGACCACGACGACGAGGGGTCTCTGCCGGCGAAGTGGCGCCTTCGGGCACGGCAGGCGGCGGGGTCATGTTCAGATTAAACGGTGGGCTTGCACGCTCCATCCGCGCCTTAATGATAGGGTTGCAGATGTCGAAAAGCGCGCATAGGTCCCGCGGGGTGATGCCGGTTGCCTTCGCGTAGCCGATGAGCATCTCAGAGGCCGCGCGTGCGTAGCGCCTTGCTTCGCGAGATGCGGGGTTGCTGTCTTCGTAGACGGCTTGCATGGTGGCGGGGGCCTCCCACATCTCCGCCGAAGGCGCGGTAGGCGGCTCAAGTTGGCTGGTTGTCGTCAATGGCGACATATGCCGCCGCTGGCATCGCGCTGGAGCCGAGGGCCAGGCGATCAATGGGGATGCCGACATCCCTAATCTCCTCCTCGAGCCCAATATCCTCAGCCCCGCCCGCACCATCGTCATCACCTCCCACGTGCGGAAGATCCATCGCCCATGCGCGCGGGAGGCAGCCGATGCGCCACCAGCAACGCTGGATGGTGCACAACTCGATATTCATCCAGACGTCGTTAAGCCATGCCAAAACATCGCGGAGGATGGGCTTGTATCGGGCCACGCACGAGGTCACTCTGTCCGCATTCCAGAGGGTGGTGAAGGCACGGAGCCAATGCCGGCGGTACCGCGCGCTTCGCCATGGCGATCAGCCCCTGGTCGAGGGGCTGGGTGAAGCAGGTGGTGTTCGGGGGGAGGTACACGAGGCAGATGTTCGAGAGCGAGCGTGTGCGGAACCCGAATAGGTCCTCCGTGGTGGCGCCTTCCGATTTCAGGACATGGCTGTTCGCGTTGTCAAGCAGAATCACAATATGCCGGTCCTCGGCATACATGGCAGCATTCAGCTGCTCGATGAAGTGGGTGAATAGCTGCCATGGGGGACGGGTGGGACATAGCAGTTAGTACACCCTGGCGGAGTGCGCAGCATGGGCATGGAGACGGGGAGCATGCAACATAAAAACTAAACTCACCGGTGAAGTCATCCAGCCCTTTGCGGTGTTTCGCCAGTAGCAAACCTCCTCGGGGTCGTAGTCGGGGTGGAAGTCGTGAGTGCGCTTCGCCTTGGAAATCACCAAGGGACGGAAGGAATGCGATCCGTCGACGTGGACGAGAAAGCCGACGGTGAGTCGATCCTTCACCGCCTTCCTTCCCGCCACCCGGCCGGCGTTGTACGTCTTGCGTGGAAGCACGGATATGTAGAGGGCGGTTTCGTCGAAATTGTAGGTGTCGCGCGGCCTCACCGAAAGGTGCCTGAGCAGCTGTGGGAGCTTCTCCTGCGTCGTACGGACGGCGGCGACGTCTTGGTCAGCTGCCTCGCCGCAGGCGCTGATGCACCGGACACCTTGGCGGCGCAACGCTCGGAGAACCCATCCGACGGAGCAGCGGAATGTCGGCGGAAGAGACATGCCGCAGGCCATACTCACGACATGCTCGCGAATGGTCGCAAGTGTGAGCGGCATGCCAGCCGGGCCCGCATTGGCAATCCAGCGGGCCATCGCACGCTCCAGTTCCGGGTGTGCGCCTCCTCGCACGCGGACGATGTTGCTATCGGATGATGCGGAGGCCCATCGTTTTGACACCTTCAGGACTCGCCCAATAGTCAAACGATCGGGCCTAATGCCGAAGCGGGTGAAACACCAATGGCTGAGATCGACATGGCGCAGCTGGGGGTTGGCGACATGGTGGGTGCAAATCGCCCGTTTGATGTGCACGGCTAGCTGGGACCGATGGTATGAACGAGGCATGTTGAGGCTATGCGGTGAGGAGTGAATGAATGTCGAGTGAATGATCACAGGTTTTTAACGTGAAAGTGTGTGCACCTAACTGAGGCTTGAGTGTGCGTTCACAAAAGCAACAGGTTGGCCAAATGTCAAGGACAACATATGCATCTGGCGTGGAATTTAAGGATGAGCAGGCGAGGTTGTCACAACCACTACGTGTGACGTGTGTGTTTTGAACAACGCATGGTTGTTAAAGGGGTTGTACTGAGCATGGGCAAGATACGCGTGTATTGGTGAACCTTTCCCCTAGTCTGTTTGATAAAGCATGAACCGACCTACGTGGCACCCAGACATCGGCGAAATGACGCGCGACGTCAACGGAGTTTTAGCCTGACATTTCGCGATGCTTGTCTCTGGCCAAGAAACAAGGCAGACCCCGGTCAACTGGGTCTGTCTTATGCAACATTTTCATGTCTTGGCGTTTCCCAGCCCAAATGCAAGTTGATTCAGGGGAATATACCCTGGGTGCAACTTCTAGGCACCCTAAGCATCGCGGGCAGGTTATCTAAAAAGTGCAAGGCAATTTCGCGCGCAGTAATTGAGCGTCATCTGTACAGCGTGAAATGATCGTGATCATGTGCGTGTACAGTACGGGACAGGGCTGAAATGGGCCATGTCCTGTTGCGATCGTGCAGTACAGTGCACGGGCATCAGTACTGACACATGTCCAAGCCCTGAGGGGCCACACGCGCGTGTCAGGACCCCACACGTGGGTCCTGACTTTCGCGCCCTTGGCCAGCGCAAAAACGTTCAAAGGCACTCCTCGCCGGTCAATCCCCGGTACACAACTTGCTCGCATGGAGCCCTAATGAGTCTCGCATGAAATGTTCGAGGCTCATGGGACTTTCATGGGTCGCTCGCATGAGCCCGGCATGAAACATTTAAGTCTCACGTGACTTTCGTGGGAGCTCATTTGAACTTCATGAGAGCATCATTTGAGAGTTTTACGGTATCCTGAGTTGAGCGCTTCATGAGAGCTTCATTTGAGCGCGTCATGGGAGCCTCATTTGAGCGCTTCATGAGAGCTTCATGAGAACAGTGACAACGAAACTGGAAAATGCAATTACGAAACAACGCAAGGACACACACACAAAACGCAAGGACAAAACGCACAAAACGCAAGGACAAAACGAAACACACAAAACGCAAGGACAAAACGCAAGGACAAAACGAAACACACAAAATGCAAAGACGAATGCGCACAAAACGTCACAAAATGAAAAAAAAAAAAAAAAAAAAAAAGCAGGCGGCTGGTTGCCGTTCAAAAAAAAAAAAAAACAAAAACAAAAATAGCACCCAACATCTTTCGCGTTGAGGAGATGGTGACACCAGTTACATTTTGCTTGCCCTTACCTTCTAGGTGGAAGCTTCATAACGCTTTTCATGTTCAGCTACTGAAACCCTACAAGGACTTCGACCAACAGTTTACGGGATGAAAGCTAACACCTATGCCTGCTTTAACTTTCTCATGCATTTTCTTGCTTAGCTATATGATACTTTGCATGTCTTTGCTTGATTTCTTATATTCGTTGCTTGAACTATATTTAGTTATAGTCACCAAATAGTTAGTGTGCACCGAATTCGGTGCTTTCGGTTACCACCCAGAGCCTTCAACCAAATTTGGGAAGGACCCGTTTGGGATGCTTGGCGACCCGTGGAACCTTCTAGTAACTCCTGGGTTACTGCCTTTGTGTCGAGCCTATATATAGCATCGGATTGTCCCCAAGTGATGATAATCTATTTTTGAGAACAACCGGCCTACGCGCAACTCATGGACCCCAGGACATCCTTCCTCGTCTCCCCCCCCCTCCCCCCCTCCCCCGAGGGATATTACACTCTGAAAAACGAGGTGGGGTAGGAAAGTAGCTCTAATACCAGGTGTTATGAATGGGCTTACAGAGCGTGCAGGTAAAACAAGTAACGAGAGTGTGACTGCAAAAAAATTCACGATACAATGAAAAGAACAAGATATAGGGGATTTTCTAGCTAGGCGAGAAGGTCGGGTGAGGGTGGCTCGGGAATATTGTGATTGGGTGCGGATGCTATTATCAGTTGTAATGAAAAGAGTGCGCTGGATTCAGTATCGCGGAAGTGAATATAAGAACTGAAGTGATAATGAAGACAAGCATTAATTGTCAGATTATGTTATTTGTCTAGCCTGCAGTGGGGTGCTCAATAGTGAGTACAACCCCTTAGGGTTTCCTATATGTATCCTGCTGCTTGCTAGTTCAACTCATCATTCCCATTCTCACTTCTCCAATTCTCCTTCGTATACCACAAACCCTAGTCCTAGGGCACATCCTACTACCTCTTAGTGTGGGCCTAGGCTACTAAGCCTAGGCCCCACTCCTATTGTTTCTAACATGGTATCAGAGCAGGCACGTTCCTGCCGCCTTCCTGTATGGGCCCACCACCTGCTTCCGCTGCCGTACTGTCCGCCGCGCGCCCCGTGGTGCGCGGCGGCCAAACCCTAATTTTTCATCCCGCCGCGCGCTCGGAGCGTGCGGCGGTTTTCTGCCCGCCGTGCGCCCCGAGGCGCGCGGCGGTTTTCTGCCCGCCGTGCGCCCCGAGGCGCGCGGCGGCTTTCTGCCCCGTCACTCCGCGAGTCGCCCCCGGGAGGAGCTGCGACGGGCGACGGGGAGCCGCGCGTCGCCCCCCGTCGCCCGTCGTGGCCCGAGCGACCTCCGTAGGGCCCGCGCGCGGCCCGTCCAGCCTGCGCGCGGCCCGTACGGGCTGCGCCAGGCCCGCGCGCGGCCCGTACGGGCTGCGCCAGGCCCGCGCGCGGCCCGTACGGACTGCGCCAGGCCAGGGCGCGCCTCGAGCCGCCCGCCACTGCAGCAGCAGCCCCTGGAGCCGCCCGCAACTGCAGCAGCAGCCCCTGGAGCCGCCAGCACCTGCAGCAGCAGCCCCTGGAGCCGCCCGCAACTGCTGCAGCAGCCCCTGGAGCCGCCAGCAACTGCAGCAGCAGCCCCTGGAGCCGCCAGCAACTGCAGCAGCCGCCCCTGGAGCAGCCGCCCCTGGAGTCGCCCGCCACTGCAGCAGCCGCCCCTGGAGCCGCCCGCCACTGCAGCAGCCGCCCCTGGAGTCGCCCGCCACAGCAGCAGCCGCCCCTGGAGCAGCCGCCCCTGCAGCAGCCGCCCCTGGAGCCGCCCGCCACTGCAGCAGCCGCCCCTGGAGTCGCCCGCCACAGCAGCAGCCGCCCCTGGAGCAGCCGCCCCTGCAGCAGCCGCCCCTTGAGCTGCCCGCCACTGCAGCAGCCGCCCCTGGAGTCGCCCGCCACAGCAGCAGCCGCCCCTGGAGCAGCCGCCTCTGCAGCAGCCGCCCCTGGAGCCGCCCGCCACTGCAGCAGCCGCCCCTGGAGTCGCCCGCCACAGCAGCAGCCGCCCCTGGAGCAGCCGCCCCTGCAGCAGCCGCCCCTGGAGCCGCCCGCCACTGCAGCAGCCGCCCCTGGAGTCGCCCGCCACAGCAGCAGCCGCCCCTGGAGCAGCCGCCCCTGGAGCCGCCCGCCACTGCAGCAGCCGCCCCTGGAGTCGCCCGCCACTGCAGCAGCCGCCCCTGGAGCCGCCCGCCCTACCCTACCTGCTCCGCGCTGTTGCTCTGCACGCGCGGTTGCCCGCGCCCTCGTGCGCTCTACCCTACCTGCTCCGCGCTGTTGCTCTGCACGCGCGGTTGCCCGCGCCCTCGTGCGCTCTACCCTACCTGCTCCGCGCTGTTGCTCTGCACGCGCGGTTGCCCGCGCCCTCGTGCGCTCTACCCTACCTGCTCCGCGCTGTTGCTCTGCACGCGCGGTTGCCCGCGCCCTCGTGCGCTCTACCCTACCTGCTCCGCGCTGTTGCTCTGCACGCGCGGTTGCCCGCGCCCTCGTGCGCTCTACCCTACCTGCTCCGCGCTGTTGCTCTGCACGCGCGGTTGCCCGCGCCCTCGTGCGCTCTACCCTACCTGCTCCGCGCTGTTGCTCTGCACGCGCGGTTGCCTGCGCCCTCGTGCGCTCTCCCGCCCCGGCCCTCCCCCCCCCCCCTACGTCCCCTGGACAGGAGGGTGTGGGGGTGGCGGGTGTGGGGGTGCTCCTTGTGCGTCGCCCCTTCCTTCTCCTCCGTCTCCCACTGCTGCAGCTGCCGCTGCGGGGGGGGTGGATGTGTGGGAGACGAGGGAGTGGCGCTAGGGGGGTGATGTGGGCGAGGAGCGAGTGGTGACCCTGGGGGTGTGTGTAGGGGGGAGTGAGACAGTTGGAGGAGGTTGCAGCCTGGTGCTCCTGGTGCCCGTGTGTCTGCAACTTCAGTCGTCGCCTCCTCTCTTCTCTCCCTCCTCTCTTCTCTCCCTCCACAGTTCCTCCTCCTCCTCACTGGCCTCCTGTGACTGCCACTAGCTTTGCTGATAATTGTGAACTATTGCTGTGACTTCTCACGTGTGCTGATTACACCCCACTTTGGCTATGGGGGTGTGTCAGATTATGTTATTTGTCTAGCCTGCAGTGGGGTGCTCAATAGTGAGTACAACCCCTTAGGGTTTCCTATATGTATCCTGCTGCTTGCTAGTTCAACTCATCATTCCCATTCTCACTTCTCCAATTCTCCTTCGTATACCACAAACCCTAGTCCTAGGGCACATCCTACTACCTCTTAGTGTGGGCCTAGGCTACTAAGCCTAGGCCCCACTCCTATTGTTTTTAACATTAATATAGCGAGGGCTAGATACATCGAGGCCGTAAGTCCGCGCATGGTTGGGTGCAGGTTTTGGATTGGAAACCCAAAGGCGACGCGAGGGGCGTTCGGAGGGCGAGGTCAGCAGACCGAGCCTGGAACTCCGAAAGTTGGAGTTGTACGCACATAGAGTGCCTCGGTAAGGAATTAGGAAAAATTCCTTACACTACCCCCCCCCCCCTCCTTAAGAAATGTGGTCTATATTAGGCACGCATCGGCGAGAAAGATAATCCCGTAATACTGAGTGGCCGTGCAACTAGTCTG